ATAATAATATAATCTGATCCACTACACCATATATGATATAGCTCCACCTGCCAAAGCATTGGAAAGAGGGAATTAAATATATTAAATTAGCTCATTTTTTTGAAAAATATATTAGCTCTTTAAATATCCAAATGGGTCCGATTGAAAATGGCATTGTATGAGAGTATTTTGATTTGGAGGGCAGAGTTGCTTCCAATTTTAAAACAAACAGCTAATCATTACAAAATTCATTTTCTTTTTACTTGAGAAGACTAATTATCCAATAAAATCTACTAACATGAGAAAGGAGAATTATTAAATATAATATTATTAATAATAGTGAAGAGGGAGAAGTTGTAAATGCGTATGGTCACATTAGCTATTTCAAGAAAAGTGAGAATAACACTTAAAAAACAAAACTAACGTGAAACACCAGGAAGTAGGCCTGGGACCGGTTTGGTTCCTAGGCCAAATATGTGGAACTATTTGAAAATATGAAATTTTACTAACGGTTCGGTTCTTATAAATTATTTTATAGAACCAATAAGGAACCGAACCGTTCTTAACCTCTTATATGTTCTTATAACTTATTAGTTCTTATAAATTAAATTATTAGTTCTTATAAATTATTAGTTCTTACACGCCTTTGCTAAAACATGAGAAACCCGTTAAAAGGTAATTAGAGAATGACTTGCCAAATGCGTTAATAGGGACATGACCAGACATGTGAATGACTAATGAGTAATTGAATCTTTTCCCATCTATATGAAGAGCACAAGAAGCAACTTATTTTAGATTTTGGAATGTTTACCTCGCAATGGAATATTGCAGTGCAGCTGTAAATATTTTCATATATCTTTTTCTTTACATATTTTCTTCCTAAGTTCAAATCATAGTTTAGCAATTATAAGCTTCCTAGCTTCCCCATAACTATTTATTCTACCACTTCTTAATATCTGTAAACTAAGACACGAGCTAGTGAGCTACTAACCAGTTTTTGAAAAAATAATAATTGAGAACTCCCGCAGCTAAAATCGAACAGTGTTCTTCCTAAAAATGATTGAAATTGCAAATGTGCTCTTTATATTGGGACGGAGGGAGTATGTAATATTTTATGTAGTATAAACTTCACATTTCACATAGTTAATGAGTGAATAAAACGCTATTTTTAAAATTTGAAGGTTAACAACAACTACAAACCAGATTTTTTTCATTTCAAGTTTAGATTATATTCATTTTTCGAAGTCATAACTTTTAACTCACAGTGAGTTACGATATCCACAATATATAAAATGTAAGTAATTTCAATATTCTAGCTCAAATTTTAATGGCATCAATTAACCAACCTGGCCCTTTGTTCCGCCCTCAGAACAAGACCAATTATTACCTTCCCTGAAGTGGTCCATCCAATTAACTTGAGATCATTGCTTGCTAAACCTACCAATACGAACTCATATCAGTCAGGCAATTATATATTCTCTGTGTGTGTTCTATATCCAGTATCCAATCATGTTTTCTTGCTACTCCACTTAGTTTGTTCTTTGCATTTGTATCAAAGGTCTAATCCTTAATTCTCTAAGCTGAGCTTATTCATTCTTGCATTCTATCTTTGTATCTATACCTTTGTTCAGCAGGCCAACACACGCACATACCTACATCTTTCAATCGGGAAGGAATCACAATAGCCACTGATCCTTCTTACCTTGTTGATTGAGTCAACAAAGGTTCTTTTGATTCTTTCCTCAATGGAATTGTAAGGAAAGCCTAACAACATCATTTTCCTCAATGTGTGTCTCTCCGTGGTATAATTTCTAATTGAGAAATATTAATCTGGCATACCAATAGGTGGTAGCCTTGCCAGAAATATTTATACCTATGAGGAGTTATGTTAGCACTATTAAAAAATTTATGAAAGCAAAAGTGGATTTATGAGCCTGTAGTTTACTGAAGGTGAAATGTTTCTCCAGGATTTCTTGTAACAAATTGCTTCTTTTAGCCAATAGCAACAGAGAAGCTGAAGAGTAGCACTACTTTTTTTGTGTAAGAAAATGTTTAGAGATCCATTGAACCAGGTCTGTTTTTCCTAAAACCTTACCGTCATATACATCTGTGTTCTTGTGCAGGTTCATGTTAATAGCAAATTCCCCTTGACTTTTTATATACTAAATACTCCGTATGACAATGTTAAGATGGAATACAAAAGTAATTTATTAACATTGTGAAGAAGAATGCTTTATCCAGCGGGACAAGCATAAAACGACATACTATCTGTTTTTGTGTCCCACTCCTGGTAAACTTTATGTTCTCTATGTTTGAAATTACATTCAATCAACATATTATGCACACTCTGAACTTACCTTTTTCAGCTTTGCTAGTTGAAAAGGGGAAGCTCCTTCTCTCTGCTATGCTTTCACAGAATATGTCATTTCATCCCATTCAGAAAAAACTGTTGGGATTGGAAAATTCTTCTAGTCAACATCAAGAACAAAATTACAAAAGGAAGAACAAACTCTCACACTCAACTATTACAAAAAAGCAATCCTCACTAATACACTTCTACTTGAAGTGTATTTCATTCTTCACACACTTTTGTCACTTTAGGAACTGATGATAATAAACATGGAGCACTCTATTACAAAAAGTGAAAAAACCAATCCTCACTAATACACTTCTACTTGAGTGTGATAGTTTGCTTCTCCTTTTGTAATTATGTACTTAATATTGAATAGAAGAATTTTTCAATCCCAACAGTTTTTTCTGCATTGGATGAGATGACATATTCTGTGAAAGGAATTGTCTGAGTTCTTTTAGCAGAGAGAAGGAGCTTCCCCTTTTCAACTAGCAAAGCTGAAAAAGGTCAGTTCAGAGTGTGCATAATATGTTGATTCAATGTAATTTCAAACATAGAGAAGATGAAGTTTACCAGGAGTTTTATGCGTGTCCCGCTGGATAAAGCATTGAATTGTTCCATCCTTCGGCCGAGGCTGAAGATGAAAAATGACAAAATTAAAGAATTCTTCTTCACAATTTTAATAAATTACTTTTGTATTCCATCTTAACATTGTCATATTTAGTATATAAAAACTCAAGGGGAATTTACTATTAACATGAACCTTCACAAGAACAGATGTATATGACGGTAAGGTTTGAGGAAAAACACACCTGGTTCAATGGATCTCTAACCATTTTCTTACACAAAGAAAGTAGTGCTAATCTTCAGCTTCTCTGTTGCTATTGGCTAAAAGAAGCAATTTGTTGCAAGAAATCATGCAGAAACATTTCACCTTCGGTAAACAGCAGGCTCATCAATCCACTTTTGCTTTCATAAATTTTTTAATAGTTCTAACATATCTCCTCATAGGTATAAATATTTGTGGCAAGGCTACCTATTGGTATGCCAGATTATTATTTCTCAATTATCCATTGAGGAAAGAATCAAAAGAACCTTTGTTGACTCAATCAAAAAGGTAAGAGGGATAAGTGGCTATTGTGATTCCTTCCCGATTGAAAGATGTATGTGTGTGAGTTGGCATGCTGAACAAAGGTATATGGAGCAGAATGCCTTGCTGGATGAGGCAGGGAGAACTCCAGATTCATGGGGGAATTAATTTTGTGTCTAGGGTTTAGAAGACTATTTTGCTATCCCTAGTTGGTTATTTTCGGTTCAGACAGTTTTACTTGTTCTACTAGTTATCTCACTCGTGCGTTGCACGGGAAGCAATCAACGCCTATTGAGAATCTTACACTAGTCATAATATTATCTTACATTATTTGAAGTGTTCCCTACCATTAGACACATATACGTGGGTATCATGCTTTGCATGGCCCATGCATTATTCTCCCATATTATCATTGTAATGCATTGCATATTATATATAGCATCTTACGGATGCATAATAAACGTATGAAACATTTCTCCTTCTCCATGAGTTCGTATGCTTTTCATAACAGTTCATATTTTTATCATTAGTCTTCAATTTTATCATGGTATCAGAGCCGAAACCTGGAAGTCAGAATATCGGTTAATTTTTTGAAAGTTAATCTTTCTTTATTTTCACTCATATCAACATGACGGAAATATCGTCTCACATTCGCACTTGGATAATTGATTCCGGAGCAAGTGAACATATCACTTGTGATAGTGCAAACTTTTTCAACTACTCTACTCATTTACCTGAAACAAGAGTAAAAATTCCCAATGGCGAATCAGTTCCGGTTTCCGCCATCGGTAGCCTCTACCTATCTAACGGGTTCTACCTTCGTCGCGTTCTTTACGTCCCACAATTTCAATGTAACCTGCTCTCCGCTAGCCGCCTCACAAGCGACTTAAACTGTACACTCACATTTTTCTCAGGTTTCTGTATATTTCAGGACTTATCCTCCCGAAAGTTGATTGGTAAAGGTGAATTTCATAACGGCCTCTACTACCTAGAATTACCTAGAAGTGAAATGATGGCAATGACAGTTACTCTTGATTCTACTTTGTGGCATCGGCGTCTGGGACATGCTTCAAATGGAAAGTTACAACATATTCCATTTCTCAAAGGCTTGCAACAGAAAGATATTTTTTGCGATCCCTGTTTACGAGCTAAACAAACTCGTCTACCTTTCCCCAAAAGTACAAGTAAGACTACTTGTTGCTTTGAATTAATACATTGTGATATATGGGGAGGTTATAGGTGTGACTCGACTTCAGGAGCACGATATTTCTTATCCATTGTTGATGACTTTACCAGGGGAGTTTGGGTTTATCTTATGAAAAACAAGTCTGAAGTAAGTCAGAATTTGATGCATTTTTGCAATATGGTGGAAAATCAATTTGAGAAGAGAGTTAAACGCATACGTTCAGATAATGGAATGGAATTTCAAACCAATCTTTTATCCGAATATTATGCACGGCGTGGAATCATTTTTGAAACTTCATGCACAGATACTCCCCAACAAAACGGAGTCGTAGAGCGTAAGCATAGACATATCTTGGAGGTTGCTAGGGCCCTACGCTTTCAATCCGGATTACCTATTGATTTTTGGGGAGAGTGCATTCTTACTGCCGTTTACATTATTAATCGGCTGCCGTCACCCGTTATTTTAAATAAAAGCCCTTATGAAATGTTATTTGGGAAAGAACCTTACTATGAACATCTACGCGTTTTTGGATGTTTGGTGTATGCACACAACAACAAACGCAAAGATAAATTTGGTGAAAGGGGGAGTCCTTGTATATTTCTTGGGTATCCTTATGGTCAAAAGGCGTACAAAGTGTTTGATTTGCAGAAACGAAACATTTATGCCTCCAGAGATGTGACCTTTATTGAAAATGAATTCCCTTTTAAAATGATAAATCAAGAAGGGTTTGATTTTGGGGATATTATTGATCGTGTATGTCAGAGAATCATGGGCCATGGCAATACATATATGCCGGCGGACCACCGTAACAGTCCATCGCAGGATGAGAGCTTCCCTCGTCGATCGAGCTACCAACCAGAAAACTCACCAAGCCTGGAGCCAGCCGACAACCTGGAAGACATCTGCGGCTATCCTCCTACAGAGGAGTACACACGTGGGGCCCAACAACATCCTGGAACCCGTCTTCCTCCACATAATTCCTGCGCTCTAGTCTGCAGGTCACATGGCCAACTTGGGACGCGGAGCAGTAGATGCAGGGACGATACTAGCACAGATGGCGGGTCAGGCTATCTCTCACCTATCCGACATCAGGTCCCTCCACATACGAACCACATAATATTCAGATAAAAGATTGGTTTGAAATTCCATTCCATTATCCATTTCATTTTTAACTATTGTTTTTTCAATTATGTTTTTTTATTTCACTTTTTGGTTGTTCTCTGTCTCTCCAGCCTTTATGAAGCATCGACACCAATTCACCCATAGAGACTAATTCGTCGGTCGCTCGGTAACTTCGTCGGATCTCCGCACTGTAGCTGACGAACGAATTCATCCAGCCCTCTTTAATTCGTCCGTTGTCTCCAAATTCGTCTTAATTTCTCACTCTAGTTTCTAACCTAAGTTTTTTAATGTTAAATCCCAATTTTATTCGTCAATTTGTAAAGCTGTAAATCCAAAGCTTGAAGTTGATTGTTTTGTATTATATTGTTTGTTATAATCTGAATTCTAAAATTGATTTATACGGAGTAAAAAATTTCTGGATGCAGACGTTGAGTGTTCATAATCTGTTTCAGAGGATAGCTTAGCACCCAATTTTTTTAACATAAACTGTGTTTTTCTGAAATAAATGTGTGGCTCTTCAGCTCTTCTGAAACAGTGGCTATCCTCTGTGTGGTTAACTTATTCTAATTTAATGTGTAACACAATTCTGAAGCAGAGAATACTATCTTCAGAAATAAAATATAAATCTCCTAGTTCTGGAGCAGAAGATCGCTTAGCACTACGTGGTTGTGTGAGTTTATTTTAATGTCTTAATGATTTACTATGGAATGTGCATTTTATATATTTTGGTTATGCTTTATTTTCTAGAAAAAAGTTATCATATCTAGTGACTTGCGTCATTAATTTAGCTCCAACTCTTTTTCATGTAAAATCAAAGCTAATTGATGAGATCTGTTAAGTTTTAGATAGGAAGTCTTTTGATTATAAAATTGTAATTATTTAGTCTTTGATTGTGCTAAATTTTGAGGTGGTAATCTTGTCTTACTATGTGGAGGGCGGTATCTGCCTATGCTTGAAAATTACTTCGTTTTCATGTAGAAATTATACGGAGTTTTTTCCCAAATGAAGGTAGTCTTCAACCTTATTTCCCAATTAAGGGTACTTTTAAACTTATTTCCCAAAACAAGGTATTTTTCGTCCTTGTCAGCCAATTTTGCCACATCACCTGGTCCACATCATTAAAATTTAAAAAAATCGGACGGCCCTAGGATTTGAACTCACGACCAAGTTAATACACTTCCAAAATGCAAACCACATGACCATATTGACTTTCTTCCAGAATAGCATCTTTACATTTTAATAACATCTACAAAGTATGTATTTAGTACTACATACTTTTAAATACAACGTAATATGATATATTCAATTAAAAAATAATTTAAAATATCTCTACATTATATAAATAAAGAAACAAATAAATTCAAACGTTGGACTAACTCACCCTAAATTTTATATAAAAAAAAATCTTATATTACTAATGAAAAAACATGCAAAAATATACGGAGTAATTTTTGTTTACATTAAATTTTGTGTAACAAAATAAAAAAAAATCCAACACTAATATACACGATTTTTTACAATCATAATTTCATTTTTTTACAAGCAAGTATGAGGTGGATTTAAATCTATTTTGACATTTTTTTAGTGTAGATTTATTTTAATTATTCTTGTATAGCATATACCAAATTATTTTATATCATATTTTTTAATTGTTTCAATAATGAGTAATATATATATATATATATATATATATGAATGAACGATTAATATATGAATTAAGTTGATATTGCCGTGCACTTAAATATATAGTAGTATATGTTAAATACTTGTCAAGGAGACTTTGTAACAAATGACTAGCGTTATCCAGCCGCTCGCATTTTTTTAATATTTTATAAAATGTGGAGTTATTATAAATTACTTCCTCCATCCCAAAAAACTTTGTCATTTTCAAAACATTGACTAACTATATCTTTTTTATTGAAAATCATTTATAATATAAAAATTATATGAAAAGTTCTTTGTTAAAAGTATTTCCATAAAAGTATAGAATTTATAATTTCCATAATATTATACTAACCAAAATCAAGGTTTAATTTTTTTGAAATGACAAAGTTTTTGGGATGGAGTCAGTATTTTTTTAATTGCATATACAAAGTTGCGTTTGTATTATAATTTTGAATGAGTTTTTTACTTTTGATTGCATATCCCCAATTAAGTATTTTATCATATTCTCTATTTGATTGCATATAGGAAGGAGTAATAATATATATTTCTAAAGAAACAACTTATAATGAATAAGTACACTCCTGCATTTAAACATTTGTAAAAACATCTTCAAAGGAGTGTTGTGACCACAGTCCAAGGTAGCTCAATGGTTTGTTTGTTGAAAGTTTTTCGATTTGGTCTTGGGTTCGATTCTTCCTCACGTCATATTTTTTATTTTTAACAAGATTGACCAAACTGTGATGACGTGGAGGGGGATGAGGGTGGTGAATGATGTGGCATACATGATGTGGCAAAATTGGATGACAAGGAAGAAGATACCCTGTTTTGGGAAATAAGATTAAAAGTACCCTTAATTGGGAAATAAGATTGAAGACTACCCTCGTTTGGGAAAAAACTCAAATTATACGAGTAAAGGGTCAGTTTGGTCCTCGAAATTGCATAAAATGGGTCAAATAAGTTCTTATATAGAAGATTCTGTTCGGACGTGCCATTTGAGGCGGTTCCCGGTGAAATTTTTTGATAATTTTTTTTGAGCATCTTATTCATTGAGTCTAGTTTACTCGTACCAAATTTCAGCTAAAAATTCAATCGGGAAGGCATTTAAATGAATTCTTGAAGATAACTGCGCTTTTTAGTGCACAGTTATCTTCAAGAATTCATTTGAATGTCTTCCGGGATTAATTTTTATATGCAATTTGGTAAATATTAATAATAATAATAATAATAATAATAATAATAAATAATAATAATAATAATAATAATAATAATAATAATAATAATAATAATAATAATAATATTAATAATAATATTAATAATAATATTAATAATAATAATAATAATAATAATAAGAAATAATTACATAAATATGACCAAAATAAAGATGGTTTACAAAAATATGATTCATTACTAGAGTAGTAATGAATAGTCATATTTATGTAAATAAGTTTTATTTTAGTAATATTCTCGTAAAAACCCTAATAAGAAATAATAATAATAATAATAATAATAATAATAATAATAATAATAATAATAATAATAATAATAATAATAATAATAATAATAATAATAATAATAATAATAATAATAATAATAATAATAATAATCTATTAATATATAAAAGAAAAAAAAATTGGAATAGGGTTCCCGCTCAAATCTGTCAACATCAAGAACATTAGTAAAAACATTAAATTAAACATAAGGTGTATTACAAAAATTAAAGATACGGTGTATTACAATGACGCAAGCAGATTTCAGAGATGATTATCTAGACAAATTCTATTGGTTGAAAAAAAGGTGGGCACAGCTGAATTATTTGTCGTGTATTCCTATTGGTTTAAAATAGAGGTGCACACTATTGATGTGAAATACATGATATGTGGTTGAGTCACTATTTGGATTGCTTTGTTTCTATTGGTTGAAATGGGTGGCAGCATAGTGTATGAGATCGAGTGTATCTCATTCCCAAAAGTATGGCAACGTTCAGCTATAAAAGCAACCTTCCGCCATGAAGCAGGAAAGCACTCCACCCATGCACACCCTGAATTCCTGAAATTTAATTTGCTTTTGATCAGTCACTCTGATGTGAAAATTTATCAAATCTATAATTTTACTTCAGTTTGCAATCAATTGATCTCAAATGTTAAATGAGCTAGATACTAATATTGTGAACGTTATTAGCTTTTTGAATATGAACCTTAAAATTAATTTGTTCAATTCATTTGATTTGATAGGTGAAAATTAGTTCAATATGTATAAGTTTGAGATGTTTTTTCCATTCGAGAAAAATTCTTATTCCTGTTATATTTATTTTTGTCTTTGACATTTATGTTGCCACAGATTTTATTTTATATTTGAAAATAAATCTTGTCAAATAACATACTATTTTACATTTGACATTTTTTTGCAATATATGTTATTTAATTAAATTTTGGCCCCACCTAAATGGTGGGGCTGGATCCGCCCCTGAATCAAAGGTCCCCATACAGATAGAAACTTCATGGTCGAGGAAAATTATACCAGTATGTTTTTTAGACTATCACAAACGCTAAAAATTGTACTTTAATGAAGGTGAAGTCTTTGAAATATGTAGTATGGTCGAGGAAGATACGTACTGTAATATTGTTAGCAGGTAATGTAAATGAAATGCACTTAAGGTGTATTTATAATTTTGTTGCTTTTGTTATTTTCATACTAGATTATCATATTATGTCACAAATTGTTCATGACAAATCCTTTGCAACCACGAAGTTCATATGTAAGTTATTCTCTAATAAATTACAGCTTTCATGTTTAATCACACGTTGCTCATGTGAAAATATTTAAGTTTGCTCATATACTATACTACGGAGTAAAAGATATGGGTCACACAAAACTAAGGCTCTATTTGCAAACACAACTAAAAAAGCACTTCCCAGCTTTTGACTTAAAAAAGCTAAAAAAGATGTTTTCAAATGACAACTTCTACTTAAATGAATTACTTAAAAGTTAAAAGCTAGAATCTGTTTTTTACTTTTTCTATTACACAAAAAGCACTTATTTTACCAAACACCACCAACTTTTACTTTTCAAAATCACTTTTTTCTCAAACACTACCAACTTTTACTATTAATCACTTTTTTACCAAATCATTTAGGGAGTGTTTGCAATTGCTTCAACTTTAAAAAAGTGATTTTTTAAAGTGATTTTGGGAAAAGTGATTAATAGTAAAAGTTGGTAGTGTTTGAGAAAAAAGTGATTCTAAAAAAGTAAAAGTTGGTAGCGTTTGGTAAAATAAGTACTTTTTGTGTAATAGAAAAAGTGAGAAGCAGTTTAAAACACTATTCTACCTGCTTCCAGCTTTTAGCTCTTAAGTGATTAATTTAAGCAGAAACTGTCATTTGAAAACACTCTTTTCAACTTTTTTTAAGCCAAAAGTTGAAAAACGCTTTTTTAAGCAACCCCAAACACTCCCTTAAAAAAGTTAAATATACGAGTAATTTGCATTTTTATCCGGGATCTCTTCAATCACAACCAGAGTAGAAGATGGCTCGTTTTACACATTAGAAATCCTTTGTTTTGTTTGATGGTGTCAGTACCTTCACTTTGTAAAATTATTAACGACAGCAGCCCATGAAAGAATGCAAAGTTTTTTTAGGGTACCCATAATCTTTTCTATCAAA